TGATTGCGGATCCATAATGCGCAAACGTAACACTCATTACTATCTACTCCGCCCAGAAGAAGTGAAATTGCTCACGGCTAAGCAACTCCTTCGATTCATTGAAGACATAGGGCGTAGCCGTGAACTATAGCCATAGCAGCGATCACAATAGATCTTTTAGGTCGCAGTGATACTGGTCTCTTTACCTGGACCTGCATAGCTTCTCGCATATAATAAAATAAAATAATAATAATACATATATGAAGTACATAGTTGGTTATTATATAAAATGTTCATATGATGATAAATTATCAAAATATGTAACATATTGGGGACCCAACTGTGCACAAGTGCCTATGGAAAGTTTATCTAACAATTTAAAAGAAATAAATAGACTTCAAAAATATCACACGAATCACATAATGTCAACAAATGAAGACAAAAACCAAATTTCAAATGCAACCATTTGTCATATTTGTGAAACAGAGTTATCCGAACTTTTTATATACACACTCGTACGGTACGGTACACTGGTAGTCTTATTGGTGTTGCTCGATTTTTTTTTATATTCTCCAGTATCGATACTCAGATCAGTTAACTGCTAAAGTGAAAGCTGCGAAAAAACTTGGTTTAAAACCAAAAAAAAATCAAAGATATATTTTAAAATTAAATATGACTTTCCTTCATAATCATTCTTGTGAATGCGTTAAGTCAGAATCTCATCTTACTTGTAGTCTTTGGTATGAGGATACAGCAGGAAAAATGGATTCTACAGATGATAAAAATATAGGATTTGTTAAAAGACAGGAATTGCTTAGTGAAAGTAAGGAAATATAAATGATTGGACATCTTCACGATGACATTTTCAACCAAGATACATTTTTAATTAATGGTGTTGAAAATGAGTGTAAAATTAATTCGATCAAGAGAGAGTTTTAATTTGATTGCTGGCTCAAACTACGTAAAGTATAAAGTTTGCATTACGGACGCACTTTCACAGCACGAATTAATCTAAGTTGTTACTCGCGCATCAAAAAGTTTTAGCTTCTACCACTGCTAAATATCCTATTACTCGAGCTGAAGTAAAAATTTTAACAATTCCATCGGTTGTTCAAGGATAAACTCTTGATGATATATTCTTGGAACAGGTACCCAAAAGATGTATAATTGGATTTGTGAACAATTGTTCCCATTAAATGCAGAATTGTTCACAAATCTACTACTACTGTACTAAAAATCCATTTCCAAACTTTAAAAACTATGGTATTAATTCTTTCAGCTTATATATTGATGGTCAACAAATACCTTCAAAAGCTTTGCAACCATCTTTTAATAATAGTATATTTACATCAGCATATCACAACATACTCTATTCTCGAGAATCGGTATTCACTTTATTAATGAAGGAAATGGAATCTCTTGTGACCAGTATGCCAAAGGTTACTGTCTATTAGCATTTGACTTAACTCCTGATTTATCAGCTAACTCATCATCTCATAGGAATCTCATAAACCATGGTGGTGTAAGATCAAAAGTACGATTAGAATCCTCACTAATACAAAAAATTTACTGTATAATTTATGCTGAGTTTGATAATATTATTGAAATAGATAAAAACAGAATACCGTAGACTATAGTAGTCAAGGTTACAATGTTTGTTGTGTATTAGATTTATGTTATGCGTAATGCATTTTGTGTGTATGTAACTATGTGAAACATTATAAAATTAAATAAAACAAGTTGTATGCAATATATTATTTTTTATTTCTTTATAAACCCTCTATTTAATCTTATACAAAACTCTGTTCGAGTTTAAATTTTACATAAGCACACTGACTAAACCACTGAACATGCTGCTGCCAAGGATCATCAGTCATCTTCCCAATCTTTTAAACAAACACCACAATGGAAACACTTGGTCCTGTCTGCATGGCCAGTATAAAAGAAACCGGCTTCTGCACGATCTTCGGGTTTTTGTCGCATAACGAAAGGCCAGATTTCGAAACTGAGCAACCAGCTAGATTTTGAACTGAAGAATGGATATTCAGCTCATGAGTACTACATATTCTTCTCCTTTTCTTCTCCGCTAAGTGTTAGTTAGTTTTGCTATTCAATGACGTGTTCTGCACACGTATGCCACACTCATGTCTTTCTTCTGCTCTTGTCTTCCTTTTGTTTTCTATACACCATTTCTTAATAAATAAAACATTTTTTTCTGAGTGATTTTCTATTATGAGTAAAACAGCTGTACAATAAAGCTCACAAAGAGTATTTAAATTGGAAGCTCCTAACCTACTTATATCTATGATAGTATTATTTTCATCACTAATATCTTGTACCCATTTAATTTTTTCACATCCTTTTAAAAATTATTTTTTTTATTTTTCAAATATATCTTGATAATTCTGAGAATCTCTCTATACCGATCTATCGATACCTTCTGTGCTTTTCAATCCAGCCAATTTGTTTTTTCTCTTCAAGAGATAGTGGTGTAAATGGGTAACGAGGTTTAATTAGGAATATTTTGGTGTACTCTGGAGTGGCTACAGCAAATTCTTTTACTATAAATTCATTTTTACTATTTTTGAATCCTTGAATGCATGATATTTTCTGAACGATATTACTCAGCGGTTTGTATTCGAATATACAATCGTTTAAAATCAAGCAATAAGCGGTTGTCTGGTCTGGTATTTCTTGGTCTGTTTCGATTTCAATTCTCACATGGATCGAAACTTTTAACCCACTGCGGTCGAACGACTATTTTGTTTACACTTAATCACACACACACACATACACACACACACACGCACGCACGCACGCACGCACGCACGCACACACGCACCCACGCACGCTCGCACGCACGCACGCACGCACGCAAGCACACACGCACCCACGCACGCACGCACGCACGCACGCACGCACCCACGCACGTACGCACGCACACCACGCACGCACGCACGCACGCACGCACGCACGCACGCACGCACGCACCCACACACACACACACACACACACACACACACACACACACACACACACACACACACACCTCACACACACACACACACACACACACACACACACACCAACACACACATACACACACACACACACTAAACACACACACACACACACATACACACATACACACGTACACGCATACACACTACACACACACATACACACACACACACACACACACACACACACACACACATACACGCACACACACACATAAACACGCGCGCGCGCGCGCTCACGTAAGAACACAACAGAAAGAATAGTAAGTTTGTCAATAGAATAAACATGTCCATGGCAATTGATGCGTTGAAGTAACACAAACGTAGTATTGATATATTCACTGCAGTCAAACGACTCTACACTGACTCCTTACCTGTTTTTTTTGCGCTCGAAGCACAAACCAAGAGATCTCTAATCCGTATACGAACGCGACCCTCCTTGGCAGAAAGGGGGCGCAATGGCAGAAAGGAGCGCGCAACTCCATAACTGCAGCTGTTTGGTCTTATATAGTACCAGTAAGTTATACCTAATCGAAAGCATTTCCGAGAAACTGATAATAACTTTATGAGTGAACGATCTTATCTCACATTCTTTCGTGTTATGTCTTACGCTACATTGATGCCTCCTACAAATTATCATAAAAGAATTTAATATTTTTAAATCCCTAAATTTATCATTCATATGATACCCATTGAATAGATTGGTAATGTAAAAAACTAATAGCAGTAATATCATGGATACACTAGATGTACAACAACGTCTGAAAAAGATTCATCCCAGTCTAGAAATTAATGTTTATGCCCATAACATTAATTATTAAATTAATGTTATGTTATTATATTATTATAACCCACGTACCAACGTATATAATATGCCATTTGGATACAGATGACTTTCTAAAAAAAAACAATTAGGAATAGGGTCAGTTTGTGATGAATATTACTTCATGTATTTACTATTAAGAGCGGTTTTACGAGCATACCTATTTACGAGCACATCTCCGGAATCGCGCATCCTACGCAAAAAAGGACCGCAGATTCGTGATCATGCGTGATCATGCCAAACCCCTTTTTTTTAGGATAGGTCAACTCACCGGCAAACCACGAGGGCTGGTTTGTTCCCGTTCTGGCTCGTGAGCCAGAACTGGTACACACTATTTTTAGGTGAAAGTGGCCGATTAGCGATATATTGGACATGGACCAAATTAAGAGTACCCTTAACCGACGTCCATGTATGCATAGGTGTATGGATGTGGAGGAGGGGAGAGAAGTGTGTCAGTATCGTGCCAAATGAAAGTCTGTAGTTTCTGTCTACCCCTCTGGGTGACAGGCGTGAATGTTTATGTGATGTTTGTTTAGGTATTATGTGAAGACAAATGTTAGCTATATAAAAATTACGATATCAAAATACACGTATTAAAAAGAAATAAGGAAAACAAGAATAATTAATAAATCAGGTGTTACTTTGCGGAAATCCATTATAATAAAAATATTAATTACTTCGCAATCTTCCGCTAACTAAATACAATGATGTGTCTTACCTGGATTGAAGAACTCCCTCAATTGCATGCACTAACTCCGTCACCACTAGTCCCAGCACCACTACTCCCGACACCACTACTTCCAACACCACTATTCCAGGTAAGACACACCATCGACGATAATACGACACGTGTTTCGCCTCAACAAACAAGAATTACTAAATAAAAAAAAATCGACACTATAAAATATTTATCACTATATTTTTGGTTAAATAGTAATTTAGCAACATTATTATTATTATATATCTAATAATGAAATGTAATATTCCCTTGTGCTGTTGGGCGAATAGAAGGGTTGGCGAATAGAAGGAGTGACGACCTGATGAAACATGCATAGGTCAATGCATGGAAAGCGGTGAGTCTTCGCTGTGTTTTTGTTGCACTCTATGGGGAGGCCTATTCAGCAGTAGACTTAATTGAAATTTGAGTAGAATTACTTAGATTACAATGAATACCTTACCCCTTTGTAGAAGAAATGATATCCCGCCATAAAACACTCTTCATGCAAATGCAGTTTTAGCTCGCCTTTGTAATCAAGTGCTATTCCCCGCAGTGGCACCTGAGTCAGGAGATCCGGGATTTGTTGCTTAAGCAGTAACATTGCTGGGGATTTTTGCATCAAGTAGCCTCGATTCGCTATGCTATTAGACCCTGGTAATCAAGATTAAATTTACAAGTTTTGTAGCGATAGTTTATGTATCCATAAGAAATTTAAATGATGGATAATATAAATAAAAACGCTGATGTTAAATATGCATAGTGGATAAGTCAAACGTCTGCGCCATCGGAATACCATAGTTTACCTGCATACTACGTTTCTGGTTTATCCAGACAAACAGATTATCGTTGTCTTGTTGTCTTCGTGTATAAGATACGAGATTCAACATTTACCTCGAATAAGGTTAGCTTAGGTTGGGGGCTTATGTTGAGCAGTGTACTTTTGACGGTCTGTAATGATGATGAATGATGATGGTTAGGTTATAACGAGTGAGTGTATATATGTTTACACTTAAAGCTCTTTTAAGGTTTAAGAGAGCCACATTGAGTCGCTTATGATCGATGGAGCCATCAAAATGAAAATTAACGTCTTAAGAGAAGCAAGGCATACAGCTGCTTTTTTGAACTTAGATAAAAGTAACCTTTATGTTGCTGAGAGTTATTGGTTTTGCGTGAATCTTGAATACATAGACATTCAGACAATTAATCTAAAAGCCACTTTCTTGGCTTTAGCATTCATTTTTATTATTATTGCATGCAAAAAGTCGATGGTGGCACTGCAGTAAGTTATTCACATGTCCAGGATCGAGTTTGTGTCGCTCCTTAGAGGCCTATATTTAGCCGTCGACTTGGGGAGGACTGTAATATTGGAAGATTTTTTTTAATGGAAATATATGAATTACAGGTACTACTTTTCTGCATATAATTAAACCGCATAGTTAGCAGTACCAACAGTTCTGTATTTCACGGGACGTTCCCGAGGCATTTTGATAAATGCGAGAGGAGTTAAAACGTGAAAATGCAGTTCAAACTTTTAGGGATTTAAATTGTTTGGTAAGATCAGTGTCAGTTCCACTTCCAAGCAGCCCCGGTTCTACGAAATTTTGAACCGGAGCAAAATCTGACGTGGCGCCTTCTCTCTACAGCGTTTTAGATAACTTGTTAAAAAACTCATCATCATCATCATTCATCATAATTGCAACCCTTCACAAGTCCAGTGCTGGAAATATGCCTCCCCAAGGAATGCCACAAAGCACGGTTCTGAGCCACCTGCGTCCATCAATTTCCTGCATGTCTTACCAGGTCGTCACTCCATCTAGTGGGGGGTCACCAACACTACGCCTACCGGTACGAGGCCGCCACTCGAGAACCTTTTTCACCCATCGATTGTCGGTTCTTCAAGCTATATGGCTGGCCCATTGCCACTTCAGCTTAGTAATCCTTTGGGCTATGTCGGTTACTCTGATTTTAATGCTCATATCCATATTTCTAAGTTTATCACACAGAGAAACCCCGAGCATAGACCTCTCCATAGCTCGCTGAGCGACCTTGAGCGTTCTCATACGGCCAGCAGTGAAGGACCACGTCTCAGATCCGTAAGTCATCATTGGCAACACACACTGGTTGTACAATCTAGTTTTCAGGTTTGAGATGTACCTGACAAGAAGATGTGTCTTAATTTTCCGAACGCTGCCCAGCTGAGTTGAATCCGTCGCTTACCCTCTCGGTCGAAGTTGTACTTACCTAGTCAGACTATTTGTCAATGATAAACGTACTCGTCAACAACTTCGAGCTTAGTACTGCCAACAACTACCGGCATAGGTGTGACATGGACATTAAACGTGATCTTTGTTTTGTCCATGTTCATTTTAAGACCTATCCGTTGGGAGGCACTATTGAGGTCATTGAGCATAGTGGAGGAAGGAATAGGTGAAGGAATATATCGTCGGCAAATCGAAGGTGAGTGATGTACTCGCCATTGATGTTCATACCGTATCTAGACGTATAAATACGTCTTTCAATGCATCGGTGAAGAGTTTTGGGGATATAACATCACCCTGTCTAACATCTCTCTGCAGTTGGATAGGTTTCGTACTCTGGTTCTGTACTCGGGTAGCCATCGTAGCCCTAGTGTATAAAAACTTCAGCACTTTGATATACCAACAGTCAACTTGGCACCGCTGAAGCGACTGTAGCGTCGCCCAAATTACGACGGAATCTAGAAAAAAAAAACACTCAAAAATACATAATGGGTGGCATTTTTTGTTATTGAAGTAAGAACCCCTTAATAAAAACTCTTTATTGCCTATTAGCTAATAACTTTTTAATTTGTGTAACTTAAAGTTATATATAGAAAACATATATAACCAGGAAAGAAAACAGATAATCCAGACATTTGTGATCTTTAGGTCTCAGCATATTTTCTCTCTAATCTTGTTACAGCTTTACACGGCGTGCTTTCTTTTTAGCGAATGAATCCATTAGCTCATCAAATTCTCCCTCAAAGCCAGTTTTTTTCAATGGCTAGGATTGCAAGGCCAGATAGATGTTCCTAACTCATTGTTGAATGCAGGTTTTAATTATTTGCAGATTGATGAAGCTTCGCTCACAGCTTGTAGATGTCATAGCCAATGTGCAGTAGATTCTTAAAGCTATACTTACATTAGGAAACGTTAGTAGCAAGTGATGCTTGCACAGATGTTTTAACAGGTCTCTCTTAGTTCTTAAAAATGGCGAGTCTCTGGCAAAAAACAACTGGATCGACTCCATTTTTTGCAAATACGCAGTCAACCTATTTTAAAACACGTGGCAACTAAGGAAGTCAAAATTTTAATAAATACTTTTTGCGGTACCCACTCTTGTTTTAATTTCTGTTTAAATTTTGTCAAACACTAATTTTATATCTTTTTATTATTTGGATCTAGTGTTCTCGATTCGTCGTCGCAGAGTTCATCGTGTTGCCCTTTCTTTATGGAAACTCGTTTGATTTTTAGGACTGGTTCGATTTATTATATTTTTTTAATACAGGTGGAGCTTTTTTTAACCAATGTTCTATTGATTTTACTTTCATTCCTTGCAAGATCTTAACAAGACCTTGCATTATCGCCACGGAATGCGAAATGATAATATCCTCTTTTTGTACGTATTTCAAGGCTCACTCTATTAATTTCTCGAAGAATATTATTCCAAATTGTTAAGTTGAGGATAAATTTAAAATCCATCACCGCATTTAGTGAATGACCAGCTTCATACTTGGATTCTGCGACTAGAGAAGATTCTTCAATTTCTTCCAGGGCTTTGACCATTTCCGGTAAATACTTTATGAATAATGAAGTAGTCAAACCATCTGATTTGACTACTTCATTTTAGTTTGTTTTTGTATAATTTTGAATTATGTGTTGGATCCAACTTTGCACGTTTCACTGAGTGTTGGATTCAACAAAAAAACAACAAAGTTTTTGTACAAGCCCAAATAAGGTAACTGCTTCTAGACATGATGACGCTGAATGTACGCTCACAAGATTTAAATAGTGTGCTAGACATGGTACAAACTTTGCTAACTCGTTTATTTGCAAAACTCTGGATTGGACTCCTTTATATATGCCAGCAATATTAGATCCGATGTCGTAAGATTGCCTACGACATTTTAGCACATCTAAACCATCAGCTTCTAGATCCTCTAGATTTATTCTCCAAAGACTGGAGCATTTACTTCAATAAAATCAATAAAGTTTTCCTTTATTTCATGTCCGGATTCCGTTATGTTTATAAATTGAATCACCTAGCTCATCCTCATTTGTCCCGTGTGAGATACATACGGAGCGCAGTCAAGCTTGATGGTGAAATAGTTCGCTTCCTTAATGTCATTGATAATGGTATTTAGAACCTTCTTTGCCATTATACCGATAATTTTATTTTGTACCGTTTTCGACAAACAGGATACCTCTCCTTTTTTACGTGGTCTGATATATGAAAGTAGGATCTTAATAATTTAATTTAAATTTTCACCACTAGATGTTGCTAACAATCTACTGCTGGCAGCACATTTCGCAATGAACCATTAGGATGTGTTCAAAAACCAACTGGGCGTTTTAAGTGGTTACCTTGAAAATGAATCGTAGTTTTGGGGGCGTGGCTTATTCCTTTGTCGATGAAGGTTACAGACAACTGAGGGAGTGTTAAAATGAAAGTGATGCAATGACTTCATAATACGCAAATTATGAGATAGCTATACCGAGCACACGCTCGGGAAAAAACTAAGTAAGCGCCAAACAACATTTTTTTACAAAACTTCGTTATGGATTAAAAGAAAGGTTTATGAGAACTTAGATATGAATATTATCTATGCCTTAAAAATAATTCCATGAATTTATTCGTAAAAATATTATGGTAACACGGAGAAATATAACTAATTAGAGCCTACTTCGCAATTTTTCTATGGCGAAAATTACATGATATCGTGTTTTCTTTTGAGCAATCCAAGGTCATACAGTCAAATATCATATTATACCAAAAGTTCGATTTGTAATCTACAAAACTTAAAAAAATATGTGAAATAGAAAAACCACAAAATTTTCGAGGTATCACCATAACAATAATTGATAGAACAACGTGCATTGGATACTAGACGTTTTATGAGCAAGTTTTTTTTTAAATTCATATTATGTTATAATTTCGGCGCCCCCTGAAACTGCCACCCAGCAAAGGTGCCCCGGTTTGCGCCCCCCACCAGATCCGGGGCTGGGTCAATGGTAGCTAGATGAAAATTATAAATAAACTGTACCCGTGCCTTATCGTCGCGTTAATGTTTATGAATATCTTGGTACTGGTGTTTTAGACCAATTATCAAGCTCATAATAAAGAGTTTCAAGGGTCAATCGGACTAGGTTTCAAAAGCTACTAATAAATGATTCTTGTCCAATTCATGTTACTTTTGTTCGCATATCCTGCAAGCTATCTGTTGTCTGTGCCTTATGGCATACTAGATTTGAGGTAACCAAGTTATAGCTGAGTGCTAGTAGTGCTGCTTGCATTCGTTTTATATTTGTTAAGCATGCCACCACTTGAATTTAATTTTCTTATCTTTAACACTAGCAATTTTAA